ATATGGTTGTTTCTTTGAATCATATTGAAAATATACATTTGCTGATTGTGGAACTTGTTATTTCTTTTATTTTCGAACCGGCAAATGGCATACATTCGCAATAAAATTTATTAAACTGTGGAGTTTGGTTGAAATATTTCGTGGATATGCACCATGAGTCCATAAGCACATCAGACTGATGCCTAAAGTTAACCACCTTGCCTGGTTTAATGGACCACTATTCCATGATGCAAATCTAGAGTCCACCTTACCTCTACAAATACCCACTGTATATTCATAAAGGAGTCTTTGGTCACAACTAAGGGTATCTGCATTTTCAATTTAAAAACAAAAGAATCCAGAGGACTGCCAACAGCTGAAACTGATATTTGGGGTAAATTATGGTAATAATCATTTGCACGTAATATTCAAAGTAGACCATTGAATGTGGCAGGGCTTTTTTGTGGTACCATCTACATCTTTAAAAAGAGCTCTAAACGGAAGTTTATTTTGGTGCAAGGAGCAACCAATAGTATGAAGGTTTCTGTTAAGTTTTCTTTCTAGAGGTGCAGCAAATCCACCCTCACAGCCTGAATTGGCATTAGTGTTTGTCAACAAGGATAGCCTTGATAGTGCTCACACTGTTGATTTCATGCAAAACATCAGCCACTTGCTCGGCAAGAACCACAACAATTGCACCAATATTAGGAATAGCCTTAAGTGTCAGATATTTACTTTCATATGTAATCTTTGTGACAGTCAAGTGGCGTTCTGGTCTCTTGATCTTTTTTTCAGTCTTCTCTCCATTTTCCTCCACTATTTCCTTGTACATTAGTGTGTCTTTTTCAGTTCTCCCATCAGCTCCAATACAAACATTTACCACCTTTTCATCATGCTGTTGATGGGCATTTGTTTTCACTTTAACCTTTGCTCTATCAATTTTACATTTATCTATATAAATGTCTTTTTATATTAATTTTGCAGATAAGAAAGCCCATAGCCCTCAAATCCAAGAGCAATGCATTTGCAAGGCTGGCTCCAAGATTGTAAGATACATCACCCCTGATCAACTCAACAGCATACCGTGGAATTTTGATAAGGCTAGCCGCTATATAGCCTTATCAAAATTTCACGGTATGCTAGGCCCTTTGGGATGTTTTTCCTGCCATTTTTATTAAAATATCTGACAAAGAAAATATATGTATTATCAGAAATTATACAAAAATATTTTTCAAAATAAATTGGAAAATAAAGTTTGAAATGCATTATTAAATTAAAAGTAATGTTTATTTACATAAAAGTAGAGTTAATTCCGGGATTAGCTTGTAAACAGGCTTTTTAATAAAACATTAATTTTCAAAATATAAACAAATTACAATAATTATAAAAGTTGTATTTTTTTAAATAGTTAAGTATATTTTAATGAAAAATAAAACAGATATTTGCGCTAGTTAAAAGCGTAAACAAAAATAAAACAAACATACAAGAGGAGGTAATTACTACCGGTAAATACCGAAAAAATATCCAGTAAAAACGACGTCGTTCATAAGTAGTTATTTGTATTTTAAACTAAATATTTTAGTGTGTTTTATTTATTTATTTGTAGTAATTTCATTTAATTCAATAAGAGAATAGATAAAAAACTCAAAAATATCCATTATTAAACGTTATTTCCTTTTTTTTCTTTTCGTTAAGACTCGGTTTTAATTTAACATACACATGTCTCCGGTGACACCGTTATGATGATAAAAATCGCAAGTTATTTTGTCTTTAAGTTCAAATAAATAAATAAGAAATTTTGAAGAAAAATATTTTTGTGGTAATTTTTGACGTTATTTTGCAACTTTCCTCGAGTTATTCGTTTTACAGTTCCAAAATCAACCTACCTAATATATATATATATATATATATATATATATATATATATATATATATATATATATATATATAAAATATATATAAATATATATAAAAAAAAAAATGTCTTAAAATAATTGTCGGACTTTGTTCATTTCATAATGTGTGACGTCATTTGTTTACATTTGGGTAGGCATTGAGCAGATATGGATGTACGTGAGAAAATCATGAAAAATTGCAGTTTAAAAACAGTAAATCGACATTGTTAACCGAAACGATCCTCTGTGACTCAATCAGAAAAAGCACGTCAGACTATATAGGATACAGGTTCGATTCCTGTCGAAGGACGAATATTTTCTATGAAAATTTCTTGTTAATACTGTTCATTATAAGCATATACTTATTTTACTTAAATATTTGTATCTATTTACTTAAATATTTGTATCTATATAAAAAAAGAATGTATAAACATAAAAAATGCCTTTATATATATATATATATATATATATATATATATATATATATATATATATATATATGCGTGAGTGTGTGTGTGTGTGTGTGTGTGTGTGTGTGTGTGTGTGTGTGTGTAATAAAGATACACTCTTGAACCGGCTTCTAATGCTCTGGATGGAGAGGTTTGAGGATAGAAGACGTGGCTCAT